TATTTAATTATTTAGTGATATTTTTTCCCTGCAAAGCACTCCATAATTATGTATAAGCATGTAAATATAAACCGCTGAAAAAGCAGTCATATTTATAAAGTCATTCAGCGAAGCTTATTGTACACTCAAATATATACGTGTAAAACTCTTGTAATTAAATAAAATCGTTACAAATATGAATGTGTCCTTGCAAACTCTATTCATAGTTTAGGTTATACAAACTATTGGGCAAACAGGCCTCGTTTTGCATATAAATAATATTGTTGATAATATCGTACAATACAATCAGTTCTTTGACTTCATTATTTGATTTAGCAATAGGAAAAGAAATTGGTTTCTCTACGCATGAATATCAATGTAAAAGAATGTAAAATATTGAACTCTTCAACAAACAAGTGTCCCTGTAAATCTGTAGCCCTTTACCGAATTGTAGAAATGCAAAGTTTATTTTGTTTTTAAATTGTAGTTAATCTTCCTCTTTTCAGCATTATGAACATTATAGAGGGAGTTTTCAATATTTCTTGTATATGTGGTATCACAGAGTAGACCATGTCGGTAGATAACGGGTCCATCAAAGACATAAATCAGTTGTAAGGTTTGACCAAGATTTTAATTATGGTTGTTTTATACAAGAAAAACCTGAAATAAAGTCATAATAATTAATGAACATTTATGAATACTTGATGACTTTACATTTAATTATAAAGATAACAAGAAATATGTATATAAAATCAGTATATTTACCAAGCACCACTGTAAATCCGCTACTGATTTGTAATAAATCATAAATACCCGTAAAGCGTGTAGCGCCGAGTGCGCATGGAAATCATTTAGTTGCAGGAAGGTTAGTAAAAAGTTATTGATAGAAATAGAATTGGTCAAACCAGAAATGGTCAAGTACGTCACAACAAGTACATAAACACTCACACGTGGACATTCATAGATGGGCAACACAAACGTAAACACACACAAGAAAAATAGTTAAAACATTGAATTACTTACACTGGTTACAACAGTACAAAACAAAAATTGAAAATTTGTTTTATTTTTATAACACATATATACTTCACAATATTCCTTGTATTTTACACGAATATGAAGCCTTCAATTTTTTTTAATCGTTTAATAAATTTTGGCCATTCACTCCCCTGATATACTGCAAAAATATCCCAGTCCTGACTGCTATTCAAATCTTCTACCAGATAGTTCTTCTTTAAGGTTCAGAAATAGGAAAAAGTCACAGTAGAAAGATCGTATGGATTTACAAAATATGGGGAGCAGAAGAACTTTGTGACGCCACACATAGTGTTAAATGCCTTTTGCATTATGGACTGGAGCGTTGTCCTGGAGAAATTTAATGCCCCTGAGTTTGGAATTCGGACGTCTATTTGGTAAATGTGGAAGTGAATTGAAGAATATGTTTTAGATAATTCTTTTCGAAATCTCGAACTGGATATTGAATCACTTTTAGAGTACAAAGCTTTCTTTAGTGTCACGTTTCTTCTGATAATGGTTGCTCTTTTCATGTTTTCGAATCCATACTATTATTTTAAATTTCTTTCTTCAGACAAAATGCACTCGAGCTTCGTCACCTTAGAAGATATCACTTAATAGTTTTCTATTGTCCATATTGTGAAATATTTTCAACTGTTTGGTATTTTTGTATGTGTTCACTCTGCTGTTCTTTGTAAGAACATATGGAATCTCTTGCACTAAGGTTCCATTACTTTGATTTTTTGAATGATAAAAACACTACACGTTTACCTTCCAAATCGACAATTCTGGCTTTATCATGAACCGTATACTTTTAAATTTTCATTGTTTTAAGAAGGTCATAGATATCTGAGATGCTTCTTTTTGTGGAAAACTAAAGTGGCCCTTCAGGATGTGTAGTCGGGAAGAAGTGTTTTTCCTTTCCTGAGTTTTACATGGATAAACCAAGGATACGACTAGGTAATATGAATCTTCTAAGGGTCTCAAGACTTCATATTTTATCAAAACTTGATGTCAAGTTATATCGAGTTGCTCAACTCTATTCATTTTGAACATATGTTTCAGAGTCTAGACGTGTTCCATATTTTGTCGCATTTACCCACGAATGACGAAAATGGCAACAAGTTGATTAAATTCATATTGGAAATCATAAGTCTATAAATTAAATAGCCTTTTCTATTTCTTTCAGAAGTGAAAGCCAATGCTGTATTTAATGGCATTCATTTTATTTTATAGCATTTCGTAACTGAAATGCAATTTGGAAGGTATTGTTTACCTTGAAAACACTAACTATTTATTAAAAAAAGGCTCCAACCTAGCGTTTTAAATGAAAAGAATCTATTCATTCTGTTAGTGCAAGAATATTTGTATGATTTAGCGTTCCTTGCTACTCTTATATGGATATATCTATCCATGAATTAAAATCTGATCTGTAGTGGCATAATTACACACCCCATCCCTCAGGGATATAGGTGATTTGAACAAACTTGAATCAGCGTTACATAAG